TCTCAGTATCAGCAACCGGGAAGTACTGACCACCTGCGTGCTTCCAGCAGTAAACAAAACTCAACTGAACATAACCTGCCTTTGTCACCAGTTATTCACGTCAGACACTAATTTCCAGTTTGCAACTGTTGCTAACTATACAAGCCTGCAAAACACCATTCCTGGTCCCCAGAAACCACGCTACTAATTTCACATTGAAGCTTTCGGCTTCCAAACCCTATGCCAAATCGGACAACAGGCATTTCCTACCGACATTCGGGATCTCGAACCACGGACGTATGTTTTGTTTCTGAAACATATGGCAAACCTAATTTCTGTTTATTCACGTTTTCACTTGTCTGATATGTTAAATCTATGAAGTCCACCTCGATGTGCCATACTAGAGGAAGTGGGATCGGGTTGGAAGAGGGTTGATGTTGACCAGGCCTGGCACCGGCCGAAGTCTTTTACTGCTAGCCTGGGCCGCGTGGGTGAGTTGTAGGCTGCTTATTTGGGGTCCCCGAGACGAAAGGAATCAGTGATTGCGGACTTTTGGTGATATGGTTGGAAATCGGTCACAATGGTGGAGTTGTGTACACTCCTTGACATCTAAAGCTTGATTATTCGCACTAACCTTTATCTGCTTATTGTTTTTTTTTCACACCACTTTATCTAATTTGATATCACTCTTTTTCTATCCACGTGTTTTGCGTACTACTGTGCAGTGTGGCAAGCTGAGCCGATTCACTTACGTGAGAGGTTCTACATTGATTTTGTCAGTCTCTAGAGACTCAATGATTGTCGTGTAAATATAGGACTGATTTGTAGGACAGAAAGTGCACTTCACGAGTGAATACAAGTCAAGAGCTGTCTGTGTTCCTTTCGACCAAATGGGTTCGTAAGAACTGGGAAGTACTTCTACCGCCGTCGATTTATTATTACCTGTTCCTTGGGTTCCTAGTGGAACATAGGGCTTCAGTAGCACGTCTCCATTTCACTCTGTTTTCTGCGGTCTTTCGAACCTGGCTCCACGACTGTCCAGAAGCTTTCATTTCTTCCTCATAGGGGATACAGCTCAGTGGTAGAGCTATCGACTGCAGGCCGAAAGGGGCCTGGGGTCAAAACTCGGGTGCCGCGTCTCTTATATCTCGCCTGGTTAACTAGTTCACTAGTTACTAGCCGGTCCTAAGCCTGGGTAAAGAGGGAAGGTTGGGCATAGGGCTAGCAACCCTACCCCGTAAAACCAATCCAATCGCTAAAGAAACTTCAAAGCACAAAGAGAATATAAAAAATAAACCGTTGTCGATGCCCAGTCGTATTCTCCACCTATGCACCTACTGACTGCTTCAAATAATAGAAACAGTCAGTCCTAATAAACGTTGTCAATTTCGCTATGTTAGGCATAGTGTTAAGAAACGGTCATATTAGCAGACGAATTCAGCGTCCAAGTAGGGAAGTTGAACCAACTGGAAAGTCATTTTCAAGACTTCTACGGGATCCTATGTCAAAGAACCAACAATGGCGATCATATGTTGCAATTTCGTTCTTGCGATCACTTGTTTCTGGCCAGGACTAACTTCAAGCATAGGGAGAGACACTGTCTCAAATGGTGTCCACCGACATCAAACCAGTGATAGATGCTTATTGCGATAAGCCATTGTCGGAGAAAATCGGTGGGGGACCGCCACTTTCTGCAGTGATTGCTGTTACATATCTGATGTTATTGATCATGTTACTCACAAGCAACTGATGTTTTTGTCCACAGTTTCTTACTTTTCTCTGGTTGGCTGTTTGTTGTCTGAACATTTCCTGCTATCTAATTGGTCAAGGACCAATTGGCATCCAACGGTATTTAACGTGCCATTTTCACCGTTCAACCATAGCTTGCACTTTGTTTGCTGTTAGATCACTTTGGATGTATGTGTACAGATGTATGCATTTATTATTGTTAAATATAAAACTACTAATTGTTAAGAAAAACCCAGATAGTCTTCTAACTCAACATGACTATTAGATATGCTTATTCGAGTGAATCTTACACTTACCTCGACTTTGATCACTTTAGCATAAGCATGTGTATGTTTCCCCCTAACTGGTCGCATGAAAAAAGTGTTAGTGAATCCTTTGTGTGCTCGATTGGAAGATGAGAACGTCAATTGTATATTTGAAGAGGAAGTAGTTAGACATTTTTCTGAACATAGGAACTATTCATCATCATCATCATTATCAAAATAGGACCAGGCATTACTGCGTAACGGTCCGAGTTGCCACACCTCATATCAGCACATCAAGTAAAAAGGTAGTGAGGTGAAGGATGAAGATAAGTGAATGCAGTCAAAAGAAATATAAAGTACGAGAAGAAAGGAAAGAGGAGTGACAAAATAGTGAGATTCGGTATAGCGTTGTTAAGATGAGGATAATGTGTGTATACATCTGCCCCACTGACTTCGGTTCTGAGCCATATCACCTAGGTCTCCAACCACTGGTTCCTCTTGTCCCGTGGACCCCAACCACTTAGTCTGCATCGTCCTACATGGCTTAAACCAACAGTCAGTCAGTTAGAAACTATTCTCTTCCTCATGAAGCCTAGCTTAATATTCACTTTGCTGTAGAAACCGTGGAAAAGACAGTTGTTGAGCTAAATTCATAGGCCAGAAAAAGCCAGTGGATTTTCACAATCATCCGAACTAACTGATGCAAGAGTCATTCCAGCTGGCTCTGTTCCCGATGAAAAACGGAAGCCACGTAAGCATAAGTTGACTAAGAGTCTTCTCGATGAGTATGAGCAGTAGTGAGTAGCAAAAGCCAAAGAAAGAGAAAAAGCATCAGTATTAAGAAATGCTAGACAAGTGTTGTCATTATTATTATTTAGGCCTATTAAGGATATTGGTGAGATGTTTAGCTAGACCATCACTGTAAAGGGATAGGTTCCTGATAATCTCTAAGAACAGGTGGTTAAAGCATTGAGCGGGACACTGAAGAACTGTCCAGTGGACCTACAGTTACGCTTCAGTTGCCCAATATCGAACATAAATCGGAATAGGTTGTAAACGTCGACCCTCCAACCCTCCTCGAAATTAAGGCTGTTTTAAAACTGGTGCAAAACAAAGCAGCAAGATCAACAGAGATTTTTAAAGATATGGATGAACAAATGCTGAGTAAAGTAGTGAAGGCACTGGATGGTGTATGAGAATCACAGGTGGTCCTGCCAGATCGGTGTAGGTTATTCATTGCTCCAGTTTATATGCAGGGAGAGTAATTTTCGTATGAAAATCATTGCTGAATCAATTTAATTAGCGTTGAGTTTATGTTTATACGATGCCAACCTGGAGCTCGAGAAAACTATGGAGGTTTCAGTCCTGGACGAGGGTACATCTGGCAAACTACCCTTCGACAGGTTATGGAACATAGGCAGAACTTACCGGCGTACAACGCTTGTTCTATTTCCTGACCTGAAGGTGGCATTCAATTCTGTCGACTAAGAGGTATTGTGGCAGTATCTGGCTCTGAAAAGAGTACCGAGCAGGCATTTTATTATGACGAAGTCTATGTACTCGAACTCACGCAGCCGTATAACAGCTTACGAAGAGTTGTCATCCGAAGTAACGATAACCACTGATGTCCGCCAGGGATGCTCGCTGTCACCGTTCTTGTTACAGACATACCTATGGATATAAACCTAGGTACCTCCGACTTAACAGGGATTGACTTACTCCGAGGAGGAGTATGAAGACCATATCGTCCCGTTAGACGAAGATGCTGACAAAAGGCAGCAGGAATCTGAATTTGTCCGTGATGCATTTTGTACCCGTCCAATGTAAAGTGGTGCTTCAGGACTGCCAGTTTAAAAATGGGAGGCTAAGTGGTTGAGTGTGTTAACCACCTCACTTGTTTCAGAAGTTGGATCAATCGAAATGGGTTGATGGCTGGGGAAATCTTAGTTGGCAGTTGACTTACGTCACCTCTGGCACCGGCGAGTTACCCAGTTACCTACCAAAGGATGAGTGTGCTACACAGCAGTCTGCCCAGCCCTGTTATACGGTGTGAGACAGCTGCTGTAAAAGATGAGTCGACAGGTTTCTGACCGCAGGTGTCTTCGTAGCATTTCTTGGATGTGGTGGGATCGTCGTGTAAGCTCAAGCGTAGGGTACTAGGCAAGCTAATCGATCAAGTGGTGGACTGTCATTGATTGAGGTGGCTTGGACATGTGTTATGTATGCCGAGCTACCGTCTACCTCGATGAGCAATATCAGCCAAAGTAGGATTGGGTTGAAAGAAGGGTTACTGTGGCATTAGTTTATGAATTCTCTGACTGTTGTTCTGAGCAGTGTAGGGAGGCTTATAATAGCTACTTAGTGTCCTCGAGATGATAGGAATCAGTGACTGAAGACCCTCGTTGATATGAATGAAAATCAGTCAACAGTTCAGATGTACACAATTCTGTCATCTTCCAAGTCTTAACTATTTTCATTTACTACCATACATTTATTATCTCGCGTTCCATACATTTTTATCCACCCTGATAAGTTTTTATTGAATTATTTTCTGCATGCTGCTGTGAATTGTGGTGACTTACACTGATACGTTTCCTTATCGAATTGTACGTTGGTTTGTCGTTCTCTCGAATTTCAGATACTACCCACAAGTTTTAGCTCTAAATAAACAGAGGAGCTGTGGTTTATTAGTTTAGGCAGTTGACTTTCATCCAATCGATCACGGGCTCAAACCCGGTTCCAACCATCAAGGTTTAGGTAGTCAAGTAGAAATATCAGCCCCTGCACAGTAGGTATGACTCGTTTTAGTGCAAGAACCTGCACCTTGTTGTTGAACTACGGCATGTATTTATTATTTACCGAGATGACCCGGAAACTATGGTGTATCTTCATCAAGAAATATAACTGTTTTCTTTTTATTTAACTCAGGTGTCCTACTTTGAAATTACTGACTCAATCATACTGTATTTCACCGTCTTCTATCCGACAAACAAATATAATCTACTCGACGATAAGCAGTGTTTTACAATGGATTTTGCACATATGATTTTCAGAGTAGCATTATCTGGTGATGCAACTTCATTGTCACAAGTTTTGCATGAGAATCCAGATCTGGTGAATCTTCCAGACTTCGATGTACGTTTTACGGATGACTTTTATTTAACAGGGCAATATGCCACTTCATTTCGCAGCTATGTCTGGCTCATCAGAATGTGTCAGAATATGCATTTCTGTACTGCAGACTCGCGAAGATCTCGACTGTGCTGTTGAGGTCCAACGGAAAAACTTCATGGTAAACGGATCCATCATCCATACATAATTCTGTTCAAAGGGTCAAGATGCTCTAACACTTGCAGTTGAAAAAAGTGATTACGAATCTTTTAGTCTATTGCTGAATGCTGGAGCAGAAACAGACTATCGGCTTATGGATAGTGTACCACCTCTTGTAGCTGCCCTGGGCCAAGGTAATGTAAAGGTGTGCTTTTATCCATCTAGACTGTATTATCTAAAAATAAACTAGCTCACCGCTGATGTCTTAGATGCACTTGAAATCAATTTTGTTCGTTCACGCCATGATGGCTACTGGCTTTCGGCACTACACACTGATCTGTCAATATCCCTGGCTTATTTTAAGCTACTGAAAGCTCATGCTGTGCCCTTTACGCTAGATGATTTCGAAGAAATTTGTGCTACAGTCCTGGAAGTAAGTCATCTTAGTTTCACAACCAGTTTGTCATACACACACCTAAATATGTCAGTTTTTGAGGATTTTTAGATGTTTTGGTTTGAAAAACCTAGTCTTTGTTAAATTTCTGATTACAGAACTCATAGGAGCCGTGTCCGATAAAACTTATGTTATCGAACACATTCATTACAATCCATCAAAGTAAAATCTTTCGATCTGTAACTAAGTATATATATATATATATATATATATATATATATATATATATATATATATTCTGTGCACTAGAATGAGTAACTAGAAAACCTAACCACAACCAAGTAAATTACAATAGTAAATATCAGGCAATATCGAGGCATCCAGATAGGAGCCCATGTTCCAAAAGAGGTCAAACTATTCTACCCAGCATAATAACGGAGAATTACAAGTATATCATCATATAGTCATAAACTAATACCCGTTGTACTAGAGGTGGCTATCCTACCTCAGTGTCCTAGGGGATAACGCTTTGGTGTTTAAAGCGGTGGGTCTCAGTGGGAGCAATACCACTGACTGGGGGGGGCAGATATATCCAGCTGACAAGTCCCGAATAGGGTGAAATGTGCGTCCTGGGTTCTTTTGCTAGCCGCAACTAAGTAAATGACCACTTAATCGTGATCCACTTACACACGCTCAAGATGAATCGCGAGGAATATTAATTAAGGGTTATTTATTACTTGTACTGAAACTAAAGTAGCAGGTCCTTCGACTGGACCGATTGGCTGACAACTGCTTATTTATTTAGTAGTCAAAGGTGGTGGTTCAATAAGTGACAGGAAACAGTTGTAATACATACGCAGCAACTAAAAAGGGCTGAGTAATATATCTACAAAGCAAACGGCCTTATACTTACTGACGGAAACATTGTAATAAGTGATGGCTCACTACAAGAATAAGCGAATGATCAATCGTTTGAATGACAGTCAACAATATTGACATTGAACATGTCATTCGGCTATTCCTCTTTCGATGGACAGGTAACTTACTTAACTTATATCGTAAACCACATATTTAGTTAAGTAACCATACGAATAGATCTGTAAAGAATTTTTGTTACTATATGTATATGAAAGCACTCCAATTTCATGTTTTTGATTCCACAGAAGGAACCAGCGGTAAAAGGGATTGAAGAATTTCTGACTTTTCTGGGATCAGATGCTGTGGAACGTTGGTCTATTCATCAGGAAGAAGTGACTCAGTATTTGTTACGGATTTCCTCATATTTCCTGAGGAAACTCGTCCCATTTAGTCAAAACTTTAGCTGTATCCACCGTTTACAAAATTTGTGCTTATATGTGCCTCCGTCGTCTACGAGAGCATGGCTAAAAGTAATTTCTCAGTGGGGGTTCCCGAAAATCTATCTTACGAAACCTAATGTACAGAAACGATTGATCTGGACTTTAGCGGATATCGGTGGAAGTTCTAAGCGTATAGTTTCTAACGAGTGTTTATTGCCACTGTACTATATTTCGCTGTTTTAGCCGTAAGATTTCCGTTCCCGGATTGGATCAACTGGTGGCATCAAGTTTGTTCAGAGGGTAATTTCTGTGAGCGTCAACTCAAACTGGGCACACTTCTAGAGTTACAAAGCACCAGAGAATCTAAACCTGTTTTTGAATTCTTTTGGCATAATATATTCACCTTTGTTATTTCACGTGCTGTGTTATATACTGACGCAAAGTTGTTCTCGCTGACTGACATTCAAAATTCCATGGATTGTTTTTTACATCATGCCTTTCATGAATGTTCAACACTAAAACCACTTACTCCAAGAAATCATGAAAAACTGATTATCCTGTTACTTTCATACTTCCCGGCCTCGAGTGGAATTCCTGGACATGAGCTTTTCATGTATGTCATCTGCCGTCACTTCTTACCATCACTGTCTGATAATGAAGAAGCTGATGACAATAATTGCACAGATGTTAGCTCCAGTGTAATAATGACTGCGACAGTTCACGTCCTTAATCATTATCCATTACTGAATCTTTTTATAAACTTTTCAGCTAGATTAGGTTTAAAGTTTTTAAGTAACCTTCAAGACTGGCCTCGTTTTATATCAACTGATGATAAAACTAGGTTGTTAAGTATGCTGATTTCATGTTATGTTGAAGCTAGTCAGCTTATCATATTACCTAAAAGTGTTGCCCAGTTATTACCGCTAACACTTGTGGATCGTCATAATTACCTCGATGGTTCAATGCATAATTGGTTGGACGAATGGTTGTCTGAACCTAGAAGTCTTTTACTGTGGTCAAAAATAACAGTACGTGCTTGTCTTAGACATTCTATCAGACACTGTAACTCACCTAAACAACCAATTAATGAACTTATTGGAAGTTTGCCAATACCACTAGCGCTTCAACAGTACGTTGCAAAGAATGAGTATGTATAGTATTCAATAATTCTGTTGTAATCTAACTTATTTTTACGAAATAAACCACTGATTATAGTATTTATTCCGAAAGTGCAATTGTTTTGCCATTATTACGTACATTCGTTGTTTTGCAGAAATAAAGTATGTTGAATCATAGGCTTGAGACAGAATAAGAACGTCAAAATCACAACTAAACAACGTATTATTATTTGTTGATGTTTGTAATTCTTCGTTGTTTTACTGGATAGAATTGTTCGACCTTTGGTGTTTAAAGCGATAGATACGAGCCTCAGTGGGAACAATACCACTCACTGGGATGCAGGTATATCCAGCCGACGAGTCCCAAATACGAAACGCGAGGCCTGGATTACTTTGGTAGCCGCACTGAAGTAAACAACGTAGTTGTTAGAATTTCAAGTGAATAATTCCTGTGACTATTTTGACTTACTAGTGAATAACAATTGGTTAAGATTCCATGGGAAACGTAAAACTGTGATTATGTCTCTCTTCCATTCCGGGCTGTCATCACACCTCCGTAGTATGCGGAATTTCGCTATTTCTCCAGTTTTAGAACGCAAACACAATGGAGTGACTATATAGGTAGCTAGTACTGCTTTTTTAAATCATGAAGCTACTGATACCCTAGTAGGCTTGTACCAGTTCATGTCATCCAAAAGTAACACTGAGGTACTTAATTCCTCCAGATTCACTTAGTCGTGGCTTCCAGAAATTTACGGGGAGAATAGGATGGCGTGTTAACCGTTCGAGATGTGGAAAGTTATGAGGGCCAGTGTAATGATCAAATGGCAATCAGTCAAATTCACTGACTGCTGAGTGCGATGTCTATGCTCTTGAATCTTAACATCGGTATTTAAATTATCCTTAGTTTTGAACAGCCTATGAAAACATTGTCAACAGATGCAGAATTTCGCATCTGAAAAGAGGCACACTTCCACAGCAATAATAGTATTAGATCAAGTAAGACGAGGTTTCGAAACAGAGACAGTTTATCGATTGACAGACTATTTTCTTTATGATGCAGAAATATCAATGAAAGTAGCAATCCGAATTGATTACTTATTTAGACTGTCGAACTTTAATCAACGTGTGGTCGTTTGGTTCCAGGATAACGGTAATCAAAAACATTACGGGCACACCGATTGTTCTGAGAGATATGTTGAAAAGCTAGTTCGTAGCTGTCATAAATGACCGTTACTTCTTCTCAGCCTTCAAAACTCGTGTAAAGTTCAGTCACATATTCCAGAAATACTTCTCTCAGTAAAGAAAATGTATTATCCAGAAAATTTTCCTCTGTGCTCAAGATAACTGTCGGTCTTAGTGATACTCAGTTCACAACATAAGATAAACACCCTGAATACCTACCTATTTATAGATTGAGAAATACTTAGTTGATAGAAAACTGAAGGCAATCTAGTTCTGCTGAGCGTTTTGGATTTCTTTTAAAAGAACACTATTACTACGTCCACCTACGTAATACTACTGCCCCAGATAAGTGTATTAAAGTTAGAGATCTTACCCGTCAAGATATTCTTGCGCCCTCGAAAATCCTCATCACCGCCCAACCTTCAAACGAGCAACAACGCCATCTATCTGGCCACTTGGAAACTTAGGTTTTATGGATATAATAAGTTTGAAGTTAAATGGTTTCAACAATTTCTTTTAGATAAAAACAATACATGTACACATTCTTCATTCTACTTCATCATCCAAATCATCAGCCTCCTCTAGTGCCTGTTTAGCGAATGTCTCCGCGTCGTCGAATAGTTTGCGAGAAACAGACTGATGCACACCCTTTGTGTCTGAAAATAAGTGTGGATGAGAAGTCGAAAGAATCAACTTACTTGCACCGACCCAACTGAGGTCTAACTCAAAGTTTTTATCTTTGATTTCATCGTGCACAGTGTAAATTCTAGGGAAACAAGAAAAATTAATACAATGTATTTCATGTGTTGGCTTGTGCAAAACGTCTACTGCAACCACAAATATCCTTCACTTGGATTATCTGCTCAACGCACTAGTTTAACTGTTTAAAATCCAACAACCTTACAAACGAAAAACTGGTGTGTTCACGCAAAAACTGTGGTTGAAGATATGAAAAAATTTAAGCAACATGCAATGACACGTTGATAGGTGGATAGATGTCATGTTTAGGTTGAGTCGGTTATTCATACTTTCCTGTTTATGTAAAGAAATTGATAACCATTCTGAAAGTATGAGCAAGTTAAGGGCAATCTCACCGAGAGAAACAGAAACATGTGTTAAGACGTTTTTTAATACTTACATTTTTGCTGCTTCTTTAATCAATTCTTCCGGAGATAAGTCGTTGATCTTGAGTTTTTCTATTTCTGTGGTTGCACTTTGTTTCGCTTTACCGATAGCACAGCCGAAATAAGCCTTAAAGGGTGGAAAGTTGTGATCAAAAACATGAGGGATTCGATAAGTGTATATATCTGAAAGTAAACTTCCGCGTTAGGTCTCAGCAATATAAATTCATAACCGATCCAAAAAGAAGGGAAGATTCTATTTATGTAAATTGATACATACATTACATGTCATGTTTTTTGGTTTTCCTCTAAAGACCACTTTAGTTGTTAAGCTCTGGGTAAACAAAATTTGATAGTGCAAGGGTACACATCATAATTGTTCGTATGCCTTCGTACATTAGGAACACTAGTGTCAATATACTTAAGCGACAGATCAACATCATCATTAACTTTTTTCACAGTTGTCTCAAGAATATTATTGACAGCAGTGATAAGGAGTCCGATCACTGGTCCAGGTTAACGGAGAGAAGCGGCTGTATTTCCACAACATACATGGAGTGCCTTTTGCAGAAGGCTTTCCAGGACATTCATAAATTCCCCAATATCCCTCCTGAAGTGATGACTGAAAAACAGCCCAGGGAATCGACAGATCTCAATAGCCCTGACGATCGTTGGTGTTCAGTACGCGTGACAGAGTTTGATCACTTGATGTGTCGAATGCACCTGAGATCTGGACGAAATTCAGTGTACCCATCACTAGTAAGCTTCTCATTCGTCTCAGAAGTATGTTGTAAGACGGTCGATCTTCATACTTAAAGTGGGCTTTTCAGTAAATGAATAATACAATGACCTCGTCTGGGCGGTGGTATATTTTTTAAGACTTAAAACAGCCCAAACAGTTTCTTAACCAGAATGTTGCCTCTATACTCCAAGAAAAAGCTGAAGAATATTCAGTAACCAAGGCATATTCGTTCAGTAGGCGTTAGTGAGCCACACCTGTTGCGTGAGGCTAATGATTCTACCTGGTTGCCCAGACGTCGATAGATTGAGTGGGTTTTAAAACCGTGGCCGACTGCATGTAGGTTGAGTCCTTAGACCAGTGAGCCACAGCTCCACAAGAGGGAAAGACAGAGTATGTGAACTGAATACGTCGAGACTCCCTGACTTTCTTCTCTTTAGATGAGTCTGTAATAACCAACTGCGCAACAAATACTTTGCGGTCGATGTTACTAGGGCTCGTAACCAAGACCTCTATTCCTACCAATGATGTGTTTGCTGCAAGTGACTCGAATGCTGTGACAGCTTTTGGGAATCAATACGTCATTTTCATTTCATTGGTTCTATTTAACAACTAGCTCGTACTACATTAGCTCCGTGAAATTTTGTACAGAAGTTTTATGAATGTGGCCGCAAGCGCCACCAATCAACACAGATAATCTTCAAAAATTTAAACAAAGTATTCATGAAGACATAAGCAATGTAAGCTGCATACAGTAGTTTCCTGATGTTTTCGAAGTGCAACCAATGTTAGTGTACACTATCCTGTAAATTTGCAGCTAACTCCAAGTTTTGATGAAATAACCGTTTGTCCGTATCATTGCATTCTATCCTGCTGTACGGCTGAGACATTGCCGCTAAAAGACATTAAGCGATTACAGGATTTTGATCACAAATGTCTTTGTAACACTGCTCGCGTTTGGTGAAATCGCAGTGTGAAGTATTGAAGTCAGGCAAATAGTACTGGGATATTGATTTTATAGGAATTATTTCTTAATACAGATCCATCCATTTTTAACACGACCGATAGCCGCTACTTTAGTGGCAAAACGAAAGCAGTTACTATTGTAGTGTGGATTACTACACTATGATGGGGGTCTGCGGGCGAATTTATACTCCTACCAGCTGGAAGGCGTGTCACAACAGTAAGGTGTTCCCCTGGGATGACCAGTAGTGCCACGCTGATGCTGCCTTTCTAACTGGAAGGGGTGTAGCATTTTATTTCACTGTATTGTGTTGATATATGTAACAACTCATTGAACATTTTTTGCTTAGTTGTACTGATAAAGACTTTTTGCTCGCTGGTTGACCAATACAACATCCTGATACATACTTCGCGTTAACTCCTGATATTTACACTGTCTGACGCAGGTGGATCAGCAGTGTCGGGAATTATAAATAGGCGATAGTGTATCTGGACACGTATATAAATTTTGGAGTTAGATTTCAGAGCTCGACAGGGGGACTTGGAAATATTCGGCCTCAAAAGTAACTCACACGGTCTTCTGAAGCCTGTGGTATAGATTTCTCCTATCCTTCTGGAGCAGAAGGATAGCTAACCTGCTTTTGGAAGTAATCTGCTCAGCGTTTCAAACATCTACGAAAGTTGGTGATCAGCGTGCCACCTACTTCGCATATTCTCATTGATGCCAGACTTCTTATTACCGGTGGTTCGGAAGAGCTAGGACAACTTCCGACTGTTGTCAGACTCAGCTGCTGCTTTCATCTCATTCGCGCATCCTAACCACCAGGCCTTTCGGTCCTTGTGCAAATGCCTTTGATCTGTTGTGTAAGGGACATACACTGAGCACACATTGCCTGCCAGAACATAACAAGAAGCCCAGTATTTATTAGTGAGATGTGCCTCAATACAACACGCAGGTTCATAAATTAAGCTCAAATTGGTAGCTACTTATACAATCTCAGGAGTGAGTAGTGCTTAGGTCAACCTGTTTGAGACGATAACTCTGATAACAATAAATATGCAATAAGAAATTAGCATACACTAAAGTGATCAAAGTCTATTTGAGTTCATCCTTGAGTAGTAGTGGGAGGATGGCAGGGAGAACGACAGCTGTGCCGGAAATTGCTTCTTGCGAAAAAGAGGTGGTCTATGAACAGCTGCAGCTGTTCCCCATTATCTGACCTGAAACCAACTAAAATCCCATTGGCTACTTAAGCGACCCTCCTCCGGGTCTAGACGCCTGTGCATTCAAGTCCCCAGCAAATATCATGACATATCGAAAGCGCACAGTACAGGTTACTCAGCTAGCAGGAGAATTCGTCCTTAATTGCATCCGGACTCCGTTGGTGAGGGGTATAGAAATGGTAAAGAGACATCGTTTCGTTGCCAGCTACTTTTCAGACAGACAAAGTCAACTAGAACTTCGCACAGAAATGCATCGGTTCAGGCTACCAAACTTTACAGCAGCATAAATTACTTTAACTGCAGTCGAAGTAATTTATGCAAATTTTAGCTCCAGGACTGGTCTTCAGCAGTACCGCGGTTAACAATAGAGAGTGAAGTGGTTGAGTGTGACCACTTCACTTACCTGGGAAGTAGGATCAACTCCGGTGGGTTAGTTGCCGACGAGATTTCTGCACGGATACAAAAGGCTCGATTGGCTTTTGCCAATTTGCGCCACCTATGGCGCCACTGTGATATCCGTTTGTCTATTAAGGGTCGCGTGTACTGCACAGCAGTTCGCTCTGTTCTACTATATGGCTGTGAAAATGGCCATTGAAAGTGGAGGATATAAAAAGGCTTCAGGTGTTTGAACGTATTCCGTGGTGTCCATGTGAGTAATGCAGAAGTTAGTGTAGAGTTTTGGGGAGAAGAGGTAAGTCAGTCGATGAGGTTGTGAACCTTCATCGACTGAGATGGTTGGGACACGTACTACGTATGCCTAGTCACCGATTACCTCGTCACACAATGTTGGCTGAGGTGGGTCCAGGCTGGAAAAAGGCCCAAGGTGGCCACACTAAAACATGGCACCAATGTATGAAGTCTCTGACTGTTGGTTTAAGCCATAGGACGATGCAGACTAAGTGGTTGGGGTCCACGGGACAAGAGGAACCAGTGGTTGGAGACTGACCCTAGGTGATATGGCTCAGAACCGAGGTCAGTGGCGCAAATGTATACACACATTATCCTCATCTTAACAACGCTATACCGAATCTCACTATTTGTCACTCCTCTTTCCTTTCTTCTCGTACTTATATTTTTTGACTGCATTCACTATCTTCATCCTTCACCTCACTACCTTTTTACTTGAACTGCAGTCGAACCACCGAGCAGCAGAGACGACTGTTGATGGGGATCTAGTCAACTAGTGAAGCTTCGACTATGGCACTTACTGAGACACTAACACCAGAAACACCGTTCGCTTTTCAGGTGACCGGTTAAATACGTACACCAGATCGATAGATTAAGGTCGGTCAGATTATTGGAGCATACGTGACTAACCAAATTTAGAATAATAGAACCCAGTAAGATCAATAACCTAGAAAAAACCTAGGTATTACAGTGCATGCCTCGACACAATCATACAATATGATGGGACAAAGCAAGTGTATCAAAGGTTAAACTATTTAAGTAGAGAGGTTGATTAGAGAACCTCTTCATTGAATCGACGTCCAGCACATGTTATAGGAATGAAACACCTATTTCGGGGATGCGGAAAATAATACAAAAACCAGGATGTGTGACTACAATATGATTATGCGATTAATTTGTGCTCAAATGTCACCCAGTTAGTAATACTGTATCCCTTTCCGTTGTATCTAATAGACAAATTTAATACGAAAATCCATGGATAATCTCACACGAAAACACAATGGTTCAAGCAACTGTGGTTTGAAACGTCATATAACGATTAGATGAAGAAAAATATGTTGGGATGAAGGTTATGAGCGAGGATAGATAAACGGAGTTACGATTTTTACATTTCCCATGATAAAGAGTAGATGCATTGATACATTTCTAAAGTAGTCGAGTCGTTTTAGAGGCACTGGTGCTTAACACCACGATTACCTTAATTGAGCGAAAAACGATTCTCAAATCAAATAAGAAACTTCATGAACTCGTAGCATGTTTGGGTTCGACCACCGTTTTATTCTAACCTTCGGTAAAGTTTAATATAGAAAAAGATAGTGAGTTAGCACGTACAAACCAGAACCTCAACTGACTTGCTCGATTTACTAATAAACAAATAAGCCAGGTACCAGTACAAAAATCTTACTGGAGGTTATTAACCACACCTGAAACCTATCACCCATACTTTAGATACCGGAAATTTACAATGAAGCCAAAATCACTGTCTTGTTCCAGTCATTGAAGAGGACAGTAAATTCCATGAAAAATAGTACACTAAACCATCTACAATTTAACTAGTAGGTGAGGTCCATGGGCGAATTTCCATCTCCATTTTGCATTATAATCGAAGAGGACTCATATTTGAATAGAAACTATCTAAAAATGTTATTTATTCGGACTTAGTACCACCTTTACGAGCATACATCCATCAGTCCCAGTCAGGTCATCCAGACTTCTGTAACTATAAAACTTTGGAATTCTAAAGTGGTATAGTTGGTATTTTCCATAGATTGTCTAACAAATAACGGTCACGGTCAGATACATGAACAGAACAAGGTCCGAACTTATAGCCGAGCGGATGGAGGCCGATAACGTGGACCAGTCAGCCACAGTTCCAAAATATACTAGGCTATAAGAACTTATAATAAACCGAGTCAAAGGTGGACTTTGGAAAGAGACCTGCAGCTTGAAAATTGAGACTCCAAGTAAGTGAACTGCATCTCCGCCAATCAATTCAGCACACATTAGGCTTCAGTTACGTTGGAGTACTTTCTGACAGCAATAAAAGATGCCATGCATTTTCCACTCTTCGTCTAGCCCTCGAACAGTCACTAAATCTCGGTTTCGAAAGGTATTACCCTAAATAATAACCTAGAGCAATACATAACTATGCATTTCTTAAAAACTTTAACATAAAACGGTTATACTTGGTAAGTATTTGCACAGACGACAAGCTTCTAAAATATCATACTTTTACTAATTCTTTTATGTCCTACTACATTCTTGTGCGTGCTAGTTTTCTATCAGTCCACTTACTGGTTAAGGTCTACGCAACTACCTAAGCTCAACTGAGTTATTATAGCGATAGAGCTTAATACCAAATACCTTTCATTTTGAAAAGTAAAAAACCATGAATACGACTATACAAAAGATTCTGCAAAGTACCGGAAAAAGAGACGGTAGAAAAGATTCGCAGGAGTTGTTGTCATCGCTACATTTTAAAGTGAGCAGCCCAATGTAGTCAAAAGTAACATACAGTACCAAGTCAACTGTTTTGTTGGGTCTACAGTATTGAACGCTACACTGACTAGATACGGAGACTAAGCCAGAAAAGAAAACAGTGATATTACGTACAACCAGATACTTAATGCAAGGTTGAAAATGCATCAGAAAAACCTTTCACGTGGTCAACCTCGGAAAACGTTGGCTTGGATTTAAAGAAAAAATTGAAAATGGCAAACGACTTACAAAAGATAAACCAGAAGGTTCAATGACATACAAATGAGGGCCATCATTTTCGTAAGATCCAAGTAAGACTGATACACCGAATGGCCTTACAGCACTGTAAAGCGTATGTGCGTGCATGTACATAGCCAGTCGCTCTGTCAGAGACTAAAAACGTAAAGTTTGTGAAGTTTGATTTACATATAATGGTATACGGCTCCCAAAACTATCACGATAATTCGAGCACTCATCTCTAGCTGCCTCAACAATAGCTTTTGCATCAGCCTGAAAACCCATCACAACCTAAAGATAGAGTTAAACAGCCATTAATCCATTGCTTACCATGCCTATATGATCATCGATGTTGAATATTCTTTTGACACAGCCGGGTTCATAAAGCTTCGATGTGACAATATTTTCGACTGCGAAAACTACACAATCTTTACCTCGAATAGCTATTGCTGTACTAAATACCGGTATATTATTAGTTAAATGTCTTGCCCGCTATTTTCTACTGCCTTGCAGGCATACTCAATTTGAAAGACATTTCCACCTCGTGAAAACTGGGATGCAGTTAAATCATACTAAAGGAACCTCAATGACATTGACAAAAGACAGACCCCACTACCGATCGAAGACATGATTCAGCCAACAGAATCCCGCTGTCAGCAACCTCTGGGATCAAATATCCAATGTCCTTTAGTAGAGTATAACAAACTGAAAGTTTAGTCAGTTAAATCCAGTATCTGTTCTGCAAGCTAACAAGCACCAATTCATTTCTCTCATCTCACTTGTAGGACGTGACAAACAGTCCCAGGTCATTAGTGGACCTAAACATGAGTTCGAAAACTGTCAGTTTGCTATGCTGACGTGAAAGGCATTGGCTGTTCAGTAGTTTACAGGCAGATTTCAACATTTTGCATGTTGTCGAATTGATTTTGTGGTATGAAGGTGTAGTCGTTTAGTGTTTGTGTTCATATATGTTTGAATACTTCTTTGGCACTTTTGTCTGCATAATAACTTGTTGTCATAATACTGTGGAATTTTCAGTGCACCAACTGCTAGTGGTGCAAATTTAGGAAAGCGGTGGTTTCTCAGATCTTAGAATAAATAAAACTATAGGTATTTCAGCGGGTTAATCCATAATATTGGGGAAGATAAAATGTATTGAATCATATCAGATTCAAACCTGAATCTGTATCGTTACCAGGGTTAAGAATATATACAAAAAGTAAAGCGTAGATCATGAGAAGAATAAGAAGGAGTGATATACATACTAGTAGGTAGTCAGTGAACCAAGGTGTCTCGTGCTTGTAAGCTGTATGTACTAGCTTTAGCTCATAACGATTTGGAGAACTCAACTGAGACGGCTGTTGCTACTTCTCCTGGCATAGCCTTCCAGAATGTGCAGACGAAGAGGGAGAATTTATGTCCAACATTCGATCCAACATCTTTTTACCAACAAACATAAACCAGCTGATTTCTCCGCGCTCGCTTCTAGGCATTGCAGAATGGTGCCATGTCGTTGGCGGACTCCGATGAAGGAGATCCACCCACTGGCTTGCTGTAGCCCGACGAGCGGCTGGGGGTTCATTGAATTTGTGGGAATTGCGAGATTTTTCGAAGGCTTGTGGGGCCCTCAAGTGTCTCGCCAGCGGACTGTTTATCGGACTGCTTGCAAAAATAAGATAGAATGCAAGAAAAGATGTCCGCCGAAATCAAGGAGGGGAAGTGCGAAAAAACAAGGTGAAAAGAAGCGGAACGGAAGGGAAGGAGAAACCTAGGTAGACTCGGCTGAGATAACGGCGATGGGGAGGGGCTTGATCAATGGGTTGAGATAATGGAGTCGGAAGGAACAGGAGGAGCAAGTAAGATTTTCAGAAGAGTTGTGGGGACGGAAATAGTAATGTTACTGGTTCGGGGCCTGGTGACCAGGAAGGCACCACTATTCATCTCAGTAACGCAACATATTTTGCATTTCGCTCATCACCATTGTGCACCTATCATATAACGGTGACAATCTTACGGGCGCGAAACAATGAGTAGGCGTTGGTTCCTGACCTCCTTCTCAAACTAATGAAAGATTTCGGTTGCATCCGCCGGCATCACGGAGAACTCTGTGATCACTTGGTCGTTTTGCCTCTGACGGGTCTACGAAACGACGTCTTCCGCCAGAGAATCATAAATGGGACCCAGTCAGGCCTAAGTGCTCCTCCATCTGGCCCCACGTAAATGTCCTTGAAAACCTCTTCTGTCAATTACCTCATTAGGAAAGTAAAACAAGGAATGTGACCTAAAAATCAGTCGAAATTCCCTCCCTTTCCTAGCCAAGCACGAGCAAAGTGAAACCACCATTTCTAACTTTATGGTCATGGGCTACTGATGTGGCAGTTAGAACTAGGATGAGACGCAGTTTCTTGCTCCCCGGATGGCTTGTTGGAAGGCTATTTGAGGTAGTGAGATATTACGACAGTGAGGCCGGTAATCGAGTGAATGCAAAACCCAGAGCTTCTAACGCCGCCATGTGAGAGGTGATGTGAAATCCTACCGTCCATACGTCTTCGGTCCCCCTGTCTCATCGGAATAAGGTCATGTCACCCAGGCAGACAACCCTGCATAGTTAACTAGTTTACTAGTTACCAGCCGGTCCTAAGCCAGGGTAAACAGGGAAGGTTGGGCATAGGGCTAGCAACCCTACCCCATAAATCCAATCGCTAACGAAACTTTAAAGCACAACCAAAATGCAAAGCATAAAAGCAAACGTGTTCCTCGTCGGAATCGGTGAGACTCCAGTCTGTAAAAGTCTTTGGGAAGCCAGTCGGCCGGCGTGTCTACCCTTCTCTCGATGAAAGCGAAATTGAGGATTGGGACATGGAATGTCCGCACCATTTATGAACCTATCAGGGCTGTCCAGATTGCCAAGGAAATGAGGAGGTATGGCATAGAAGTGCTTGGAATCTGCGAAAGCAGATGGAATGGAAGTCGACTCCCAACTCTTAACTGGGGAGTCAATAATCTACTCCGATACTGTCACCCAGACGACAACCACGAACACACCGAGTCATGGAGTGGCTATCATGATGTCCTCCTCCTAAGAGCATCGAAGGTTCCCATACAGGGGTGACCAATCTCCTCCCGTGGGATGATGACAGCAAGATTCGACTCAAAAGTAAGGAAGGTCACAGTCATTCAATGCTACGTGCAGGTGAAGAGGAAAGGAAGGAATTCAACAGATAACTGCAATCAGTACTAGATAAGACTCCAGTTGGCGATATCAAGATTCCAATGGGCGACATGAATGGCGAAACGGGGGTGGAGAACACAGGAAGAGAACTGATCATGGGTCAAGAAGCACTCGGTGAAACGAATGAGGACGGAGAACTGTTTGAAGATTTCTGCACACTCAACGATTTGGTGATTGGAGGCAATGTGTACAAACGCAAGGATATTCACCAAGTTACATGGACTTCACCAGATGGGCGCCTTACACTAAAAATAAGATCGATTTCATCTCAAAGTCAAGAAGGTGGAGACGCGGCCTATTTGACACAAGATCAAGAAGAGGAGATGTGGGTTCAGACCACTGTTCAGTGCAAGAAATCTCCCAAATCAAGTTGAAGGCTTTCACAGAAGTTGGTGATAGACCGCAGTTCAAGTTCAACGTCCAGAACAACAAATGAAGGACGAAGCTACGAAGGACGTCTGTAACGGAAAATTGGTCATGAAATCCCTCCCGATCACCCTATTTGATTGTATTGACACTTATTTTAATATTTTTACCGTCGTTATGGATGGTGTACCTTTGGCCCTAGCCAGCGTGATGTTTTTTGGTTGTTCGACCGTCTTATTTGACCTTTTACTCGGCATTTGCCTTTGTACGATTGAGACTTATCACGAATGTTTCACTTTCCGATTATGTGACGCTGGACTGTTGATAAGGTGATGTTGTTTTACTGCGCCCGATAATTTGTTTCGGTCCAACTTGCAGTTGTGCTGTGATTTGACTGTTTGTCTTTTGACTGTCTACTGGAAACGTTTGTTTGTTGATTCTATTCTGGTAGACAGAGTTTTGATCCTTTTCGTCAGGAATATTCTTACTGACTGTCAGGTATTTAACAGTTGTATTTGTTTTACCAGTTTTTAACGTATAGTACATATTTGAACCCGAGAAAGTTTTGGACGGCATATTTAACCAACAGCACCGTTGGGGTATTTTGTAATTTTGACATAACTTATTGTTGCTTTGATAGTACCACAGATTTTGTTACGAATCTACTACTGAATTACTACAAACCGTGTTTTGATATTTTTATCCAACCTTTGACTGCGTCACTCGCGGAAATTAGGAAGCTATACAGTAGAACGCAGGGACTAGTCAGATTCACGTCAGTTGGCACCACCTAGTTGTTTCCCTCGTTCAGGCCAAAATTATTGGATTCTGGCCGCTACAACGTCTTCACATCAGCCATCAGAACGAAATGGGAGACATTGAGTGACATCCCTGAAGGGTCGGGCGTGGAAGAACATTGGAACTGTGTGGAAGGGATGTGGAGGAGACCCACATAACCGTATTAGGAAGGAAGAAGAAGGGAAAAGGGAATCAACCACCACCACTCGCAACTCTTCCAGAAATACCGCCAGCAACGGCAGAACTACTAGTGAACACAGGCCATCTGACAAAAGCAGAAGAGAAATCCTGGATGACATAAAGTTGCTAAAATTCGGGAAAGCAGCTGGACCAGGTAGAATTCTTCCACAAGTGCTGAAAACAAGCAGAGACAGTAGCGGACACGCTCACAACGCTGATGCAGAGAGTTTGGAAGGAAGGGAGGAAAGGTACCTGCCGACTGATTGGAGGAAGGCATACCTTGTCAAACTCTTAATAGGAGGAGACCCAAGTCTTTGCAAGAACTGGCGCTGGGTCGTGCTGCTGTCCACCCCTAGCAAAATGTTCAGCCGCATCATCCTGGAGAGACTAAACGATACGCCAGGTTAAAAATTACTACCGGAACAGGCTGGCTGGCTGGCTGCAGGAAGAAAAACTCATATGTGGATCAAATTCCAACGCCGAGCTACGCATCATCATAGAACAGAGCATAGAATGGCAGTCAACCCAACTTCAACTCAACTTCATCGACTTTGAAAAGGCCTTTGACAGCGTCGATCGAGAAGCGATTTGGCGGGCAGCCGCTCTAGCACTACGGAATACCACAAACCTTTATCAACCTCATTCAACAACTGTGTGAAGACGCCACATGTCATGTGATTCACAATGGGAAGCTCAGTGGCGCTTTTAAAGTGAAGACAGGAGTAAAACAAGGTTGTCTACTATCACTCATGATCTTCCTGACTGTGATCCACTAGACTCGACTGGATCATGCAACAAACAGTGAATAGCGAGAAGACGGGCATACGCTGGACCGATGGAAAGACCCCAGAAGAAGATTTACATTTCGCCTATGATTTGTGTCTGATATCGCACAAACTCGAAGGCCTACAGGCGTAAACCAACAAGTTGACAGAAGAGGCAGAGAAAACGGGACCTCAAGTGAGTGTAGGGAAGACAGAGGTGATGAATATACTCAACCAACACCACCAACAAAAACAACAAGCTGCAATCACCATGAACGGGAGGAGCCCG